AAAGTATATGGAGACCTACCCAAGATAATGCATGATCTTCAACAGTGGATCAGGATCCAAGACCCAAGAGTCCTGCTCTCCAGGCCATTGTTTTTACTGCTGTATCACAGTGTTTCCCAAAGGAATGGAGTTGTCAACTTTGCTTTGCTTTCTATTGATTGTCAGGTTTTTGTTTTGCTGTCCTGCAGGCAGCTTTAGTGCTAAGCAGTCTGCGAGGCTGGTGTGAGTTGATGTTGGATAGAGCAGGTTGAAACCCAGCTCTGCAGGACTCCTTTTCGGGGGTAATTCCATCATTTCCTTAATACTCATGTCATTGTCTTGAGTTCTTGTACCTACTTAGCAGGTTGTGGTGGTGCCTTGGGCCTGTTCTTGGGGTATCATGAGTGTTAAGGCATCGAAAATGGGATTGGGCCTTCCTGGAAGTATCGGCATGTTTCTGGCCCAGGCACCACCAGGCAGCTGTGTGAATGATCAGCCCCTGTGGAGGGGAGTCCTGCAGGCACCTGTGGGAAGACACAAGCAAGGAGAGGACAGCAGCAGCTGTGGAGGGTATAGCCTGCGGACTTGGGTTTGCATGGCGGAAGGAGAGTGAGATGATGACTCTGTTAGGAAGTGTAGACAAGCAAGGCCTGTGTCACTTGGTCTTGGTTGCTGGTGGCAGAGGACAGAACGGGCTAAGTTGGAGGGGCCTTGGCCAATTCTGGGCAGAGCCTTTTGCTGTTTCAGTGTGATGAGGGTGAAACCGCACTTCACCCCCAGACCCTGCAGCTTTGGGGGCATTGGGAAGGATCCATGGTAGGGAAACATGGATCTCACAGAAGTCCCAGAGCAGAGCTGTGGTAGGGAGGTTACAATTGGCTTGTGAGAACCCCAAGAAGCCAAGAAGGCTGTTTGCCTTCAAACACTGAGGAACTCAAATATGTGGCAAGAATTTCGGGAAGGTTAAGGATTGTTCAGAGGACTTGGGTTTTGCAGGATGGGGCATGAGCCATGGAAAAGTGAGTGACTCGTACTAGTGTGACCCTGCCAGTGCCTGCTGCCATGTGAGGATGGAGGGGATTTCAGTTTCCTGGACCCTTATCATGGAATTTTGGAGTGTGTACTCGTGGGAGGGGTGGCGACTGGGTAGCTAATTAGTGAACCCTGTGCAATGAGTGCTGCTGTCGCAAAGTGTGATGAGAACCTGGGAGAAAGGGTGTCTGGTCTTGGGGAGCTCAGGCAGCTACAGAGTTATGGAGGACATCCCTGGTCTCCATGAACAGATACGCTGGCAGGGCATTCAGTCGAGTGAGCATAGAGCTAGGCCGTGGTGGTGTAGAGAAGCCCCAGCTTTCAGCCAACAGGGCACCCCGCTCGGGTTGCCACAGAGTCAATGTGGCCAAGTAGAAGAGACTGCCACGTGGAGCATCCGGGCTGGGGACCCGCGTGGAAAGTGGCAAGAGTTCGTTTTGCTGGGGCTGGCACTATGGCATAGTGGGTAAAGCCGCAGCCTGCAGTACCAGCATCCCATATGGGTGCCGGTTCAAGTCCTGGCTGCTCCACTTCTGATCCAGTTCTCTGCTGTGGCCTGGGAAAGCAGTGGAAAATGGCCCAAGTCCTTGGGCTCCTGCACCCACATGGGAGACCTGGGGGGAGCTCCTGGTTCCTGGCTTTGGATTAGCTCAGCTCTGGCCATTGTGGCCATTAGGGGTGTGAACCAGCAGATGGAAGCCCTCTCTCTCTCTCCGCCTCTCTGTAACTCTGCCTTTCAAATAAATCTTTTTTTTTTTTTTAAAGGCGTGCAACTTTGCCCCAAAACCTCTGAAACCCTGCCACCTCTACAGCCCTGGGCTGTCCTGTCAGCTTAGAGTCAGGGGCTGTTCTGGCCCAACGTGTCTGCTACGAGGTTGATTCAGGTTTCTCCAATCTTTTTGCACCCGAGCGCTAATTTCTCTAAAGAGCATATTTTTGGGAAACTCTGTTGTCTGCTTCTCAGGTGGAAGGTAGAGAGCTGGGCTCCTCTGGGTTAGGAGTTACAGTTGAACAAGCCCAGAGAAAACAATTAGTGTGTTGTTATTTACCTCTAGCGGAAATCTGTGACTCCCAGAGGCCAGCTTCTCGTCTCTCCATTCTGCACGTTGCCCTAATTAAACCTTTCCCCAGAACTTTTGTAGTCTTCAGCGAAATCAGGATGAATGACTAGAAATGAAGATTCTAATTAGCACTTCCTGCATATTAAAGAAATCACTCTTCCCCTTACTTAAAGAAATGTTACTAAGAAGTAAATGATCTTTGGAATGTATCTTGGTGATAATTCTTTGCAAGAGTGTTGCTGCACAGAACAGCTGTGTCCAGAGGCGAGCCTGTTCCTTAACAGTCTGGGTGATGGAGTGGGTGCTCAGAGTGGCAGCCGTAATTACTGAAAAAGGTGGAAAAGCCAGCAATAAACATTTTTTATAGGAAGCTATGCATGGATGCAGTTGTTGAATTGTTTTAAATAACTCTAGCACCTAATAAAAATAGGATCTGAAGGAGAGCTGGGGTTTCATTTCCAGATCTGGTAACATCTGCATCTGCTGAATGATTTATATCTGTGACAGTAACGGAGCATTACAGGAAAAACACACTGTTTGACCTCAGGCGAGCTGGCGTGAGACACGAGCTCTTTCCAGGTTGAAATTTCCCTCTTAAATTTTTCATGAAATTCTCCCAGCAGGGTCATGGTTGGGTTCTGAAAAGATTTTCAACATCACAATTGCTGCAGCTCAGCCATCAGAAACCCATTTATTTCATTAGCACTCCCTCCCCTCATTTTCATGCTGCACGAGATAGAAGGGGTCCAAGGCCCATCAATTGTAGGGTTATCATTTTTCACCAAAGCAACATTGTATTAAACACTTAATTATTCATCACTGATGCTTGTCATGGTGAAATATTGGCCTCACTAATTCTGAAAGCAGCAGGCCCGGCTTCTCTTCCTTGAAGGTTAACGACCTCGCTGGTCTCATTAGATTCCCTAGACGTAGCATGCCTCATGTGCCGTGCCGTTGTGTGGATTCCCCAGCCATCCATGCTTTAGCAAGTTAAGTCCTCCCAGTACGTGCCATTAGTGAGGATGGGAGGCCAGGGTTAAGGCCACAGTGGGGAGAGCAGAAATGTGGGAAGGCCCAGTTCTGTGAAATGCCCTCATCTGCAGAGTGTCGTCAGGATGCACTTCTGAGGGACACACCTCTCTTGACTTCATAAATTGTGTGCTTTTATACTTAACTTGCTGGATCTTTGGGTTTATTTGTTTTTAGTATTACATGACAACGCCTTTATTGATTTTAAGTGATGACTTCTTGTGTTGTATTTTCAAGGTTGCTCTAAAAATTTTAATATTCATCCTTAATTTCTTATAGTCTACTTAGCATCTATACTGTAACACTTACTGCAAAGTTTAAGGATCTTAAACAATATAATTTTATTCATGTCCTAGCTTCTCTGTCCTACAATGTGTGCATATTTTACACAGTCTAGGTGATAAAACCCACATTGTAAAGTTTTATTTCTGCTTTAAGCTGCCAAAAGTAAGTAAGAAGAGAGTCTTTAAAAGTAATTTTAAAAGTTCATGGAAAAGGTGTATCAGGAAAAAATTTACATGGATTTCAAAAATTTTTTTGCACCAAAATAAGCTTATCTATTGATTCCATTTTTCCACAAATGCTCTGAAGTATCCTCATCTCTACCCGTTAATGTTTGTCACATGTTTCCCATATTTGGGATTCTTCATTCCTTCTTGCCATTTTCCTATCATTTTTCTTTATCCTGAAGAAATTACTTTTTCATTTGTTTAATTGCAGATATGCTGGTGACAAATTCTGTCAGCTTTCCTTTACTGAAAGAGAGCTCTGTTTCACTCTAAGTTTTGAGGAGTGCCCTCATTTCCTCCTGTCCTCCTTTAATAGTTGCATTCTAGTCTCGCTTGGCCGTTGCTGTTTCCATGAGAAGTCAGCTCTGGTTCAGATCACTGCTTCCCAGGGGATGCCACGTCTTTCTCCTCTTGCTGCTTTCATCTGTTTCCTCTTTCTCCTTGGATTTCTGCAGTGTTTGATGAGCCAGGTGTGGTTTTCTGCTGTGTTTGCCTTGGCTGGACTTTGCTGAGCTTCCTGGATATGTTAGTTGAGGTTTTGCAGGAAATTTGGGGAAATGTAAGCTGCTATTTTCCTTGTATTTCTTCTGTCCTGTTTTCTCTTTCCTGTCCCTTGGGATCCAGTTCACGGATGTTAGCATGGTGTCATGCTGGTCTCCGAGGCCGTGGCTCTGGCCTTAAGCTCAGTGGGGTGGACTCTCTGCTCTGGTGTCACTTCTGTTCTGAGATGGTCCAAGGGCCTGGTGAACCTGTGGCTCATCTCCTGCCTCTCCAGGATTGGGATGCCACCCTTCCTGTTATCCAAAGACTCAATGCTACTGCCTACGTTTTATGCTGTTCTAGATTTCTGCATCACATCATGCCTACAAACAAATCCCATCGTGAGTTTCTTAGAAATGATTAGTCTAGATTTGTTTGAAATTGTGCTAGGTTTTAAGCAGTACAAATATCTCTAGGCAGGAAATTGCTATAATTCAAGTCGTTATATTTGAAGGTGTCGGGTTCCAGTTGCTCCTAAATTGGCCACAGTCATTGTTTTTAGTTATCCTGTTACAGTGGGCACTTAGAAAATGATGCCTTTTTCTAGTCCCTAGAAGCTGCAACAGTGCTGAGAATCTTGTAAATGCTTAGTAAGTCTTTTGTCTTAGTGATGGAATATTTTGTAATAGTGGGGTACAACCAGAAACATAAATGCCACACAATCTCCCCATGTGTGGAAACTGTGTGTGTGGGAATGTCCTGTGGATCTCACACCACACGGCCTTCCAGCTGGGTTTTTGGTAATTATTTTTTATTAACATGTAATTCTTGAACATTTTTATATTGACAGATATATTCTTGTCTCAGGATACTTTAAATTCATTTTCTTTCTGTGACCTCTTTGCTGTAGAAACTGTTGTGTGTCTGCTTTGGTGTGATGAACACCCTACTGCTTCATGAAGTTTGAGCGGCACTAATAGCTCAAGCCCAGAGCCCCCAGAACATCCAACAGGTAAAGCTCTGCCGACGACTCGGGACCAGAGGCAGGGCTAAGGAGACGGTCAGTGTAATTGATGATGGAGTTTTTCTGTGGTGTTTGTGTACACTTCTGTGCCATGACTTGGACCAGCATCCTCTCATGGTACCATATTTGAACCATTTTCAGAACCTTCCTGCTCTAGTCTCAACCCATGTGGCTAGACTCAGTCTGTAGTTGACATCCCTTCTCCCCAACTACCTGAGATCTGCCCTCTGATTTCTGGACATGGAAAGGGAATTAAGGCTTCCCCTAAATGACAGACATTGTACCTGTGTTTGATGAGGGAGCATATGTCCTTTCACTGAGGTCTGTTAACAGTTTTGACTCTCTAAATACATTTAAAATCCTGGAATCTTCATTAGTGATCTTTGGGGATGTGAACATGTTATATAATGGAAGGTATTATTAGCATGGGATGTCGTGAAATCATAACTGGGAACAGGACTGCCTTAAGAGGAGGTCTGAGAGTGTAGATGTCTGAGTTCTGGTTAGTTTCATATTAGTATTTTGTAAATTATGCAAAATCTCCTTTATTATTTGGAGGCTTGATAATTATGTGGTTTTCACAATTTAAGGCAACCTTTGGAGCATTTAAAGTAAAATAAAATAAGCAAATATTTCTGTTACAGTGTTATGTTACTAGGATTACATTAAGTTTTTATAAATATTTGTAAGTAAAAGAGTCCCAAAATGGAGACAAATAGTTTCTTATTTAAAACCCAGTTCTTTTTCATGATGCCTATTATGAATGTATTATGATCTTGGCTCTCTTAGCATCCTCATGATCACAGGATGACTTCATGATGTTGTCACACACACAGTGTAGTGACAGCCCTGTGGGCAGAGACTGGGCATCATGTCATCCCTAAGATGATGTGCCCTGGGTGGAACTTTCTGTGGAGGTCAGTCCTTCGCCAGGGTAGACTTCCACAATTAACCATGACTAAGACTGGACTTGGGGCTGCTGCTGTAAGGATCTTTTCTCCTTCTGTTGTGAAGTACTACATCAGATTGCAGGGGGATATGAATTAGCCTTGTAATTCTTGAAATCACACATGCCAATTTCCTCTTTTTCTTGGGACAGGAATATTAAGTGAGAAGCGTTGCTACCCATTAATGAATGGCAAAACAACTATTCCTTGAATTCAACAATTCCACAAATAAATAGAATAATAAATTAACAGCAAGAGGAAAGGAAAGGTATAATCATTGCTCCAAGCTGTGTAATTAATTAGCCACACTTAGTGATGACACATTCCTGTATTATCCTCAGTGTTTGCAACTTCTTGAGTCTATTTAGTGCCTTGTCTCAGGGAAGAAAAGAAAGGCAAGAGCAGAGATTTCTGACTTAAAAATCACCTTTATAAGTTTATTCCATTTCTTGATTAGAATAGCAAGCTGGGGGCATGTGATTGGCACAGCAGTTCAGATGCAACACGAGACACCCACATCTCCTATCAGTGCCTGGGTTTGAGTCCAATTCCAGCTTCCTGCTGATGATATCACTAGGAAGCAGCAGATGATGGCTCAAGTACTGGGGTTCCTGCCACCCTTGTGGAGTATCTGGGTTGAGTCCAGGCTCCCAGCCCAGGCCTGACCCAGACCTGACTATTACGGGCATTTGGGGAGTGGGCTAGTATATGTCAGACCTCCTCAGCCCATGCTGCCCCATTCTTCAAAGAAATAGTAAAAAGATGTTTAAAACTCACCATCTTAGAAAAAAGAAACAGAAAGTTGAACAAATGTTCATTATCTGCTACAAACAAATTCCAAACAGTATGTAGGAGAAAGGCAACTGAAACTTCTAGCCCCTTGCCTTGAGGAGTTGTAGCCAGGCTAGCGGAAGGAGAGCTGTGTGTGAGACAAGTATCAGAACAGCAAGGTGGCAGTGGTGGGTGCTTGTGAATGGCTCTGACAAGCAGCTTGGGCATGGGGGCTGCTTCTGGGGACGCTGAGGTGGGTGGGGAGCTTTGTAGATGGAGGGAGTGGAACTTGAGTGTGATGTCAGTAGGAATTGGGGGAAATCAAAGTCCTTGTAGACGTTCTAGGGCGAGTTTCCAGGGACTGCTGTACCAGAACCACAAACCAGGTGGTCCAGCACTCAGAAACGTGTGGACTCACAGTTCTGGATGCTGCAAGTCAGAAGTGACAATGGCGGCAGGGCCACGCTCGCTCTCAGCTCCTGGTGTGATCAATCTGTGACCTCCCTTACTTGTAGATAGCTCGTTCCTGTCTCTACCTCCATTGTCATTTGGGCTTCTCCTGTGCACCGGTGTCTTCACCTGGCTGCTTCCTTCTTAGAAGGGCATCAGTCACACAGGTTAGGACCCACCCTACTCAGATATGACCTCATATTAGAGTTACTAGGAGTGTCTGCAACTCCCGATTTCCAAGCAAGCCTGTATTCCAAAGTACTGGAGGTGAAGGCTTTGGTGTACCTTTGTTGTAGACACAACTCACCCAGCACACAGGAGAAACCTGAGAGGGCTGGGTGCAAACGGGGTGGAGTGTTTGCATGATGTCTGCTGGTGTGGAAGGACTGATCTAACCCAGGGCTGATGTGAGCTTAGGGAAGGCCTCAGATACTGGGCTGTGGGTTTCAGCCTTGCTGTTGACCCTTGTACCAAACCGACAGAATCATATGGGAAGCTTTAAAATATATCTGCTCCTTGTTCCATTCACACGTTCTGGAGTAGTGGCTTGTAGGGATGTGTGTTTTGGAAGTGACCAGCATGATTGTGTCTGTCCCACGTGTGGGACAATAGGCAACAGACCCATGGAAACCATGGCAGCCCACTCTGGACAAGCTGACCATTCTTTACCTTTCTTCCAATTTTACAAGAGCCTGCTTCAATCCAAAACACTTCTTTCCATAGTAGAAGGACATCTGAGGATTCAGCAGTCAATTCAGAAAGGGATCTGGCTTGGCCACTGTGTGGGTTCTTGGCCAGGTGTCTACAGGAACTGGCTCACCTACAAGAAAAAGAGGAAGGGCAGAGGAAACCAACCACAAGGTCCAATTCCCTGTCCCCTTGGGCCTGCCTTTAGTCAGAATCGTGGGGGACATTTTTCTGGCAGGAGTAGGGCTCACTCTCATAGGGACCTCTCAGTTATACCCCTGCTGCCCCCAACCTGCTCCCCCCACCCCCCAACACACAGAGTGTGGGCCCTGCTGCCTGGCCCTGCAAGATGTAAAGATGTAGCCCTGGATGCAGGAGATGGGAATGCACCTTGGGGAAACATTGGTGCCGGGCACATTTTATGGATCAGTAGCTACTTTATTTCAATCTCCACTGCCCCAGCTTTCTAATGAGCTGTGAGTGTTGGCTCCTGTGAAAATGGTTCCAGGGTTAGAGTGGCAGGCCTGACGACAGGCAGCCGTGTGCTCCAGCCTGCTGCACCTCTCTGCCATCTGCTCATCAAAGGGTGGATTCACACAGGACCAACCCAGGGGTGCTTATTAGCATTTCAGATATGCTCCCCACAGGGTATGTGTGACAGCCCTGCAATGCAGTATGGTGGTAGGGTGCAGGTTTAGGCAGGTCTCATAGGGATGAATGTCTCGACGTGGATTCTCATGCTTGTCTGTTGTTGTCTGACTGACCCTAGTTTCCACGATGGTGTCTGTTTTGTGTATGCCAGCCAAGGGGTGATTGAATCAGGAGCAGGACCCAGCTCACTGTGACAGTGTTCCCCTGGCCATGGGATTTCATTTAGGAATGAGCACACACTTTCTAGTCCTGGCTATATCATCCATGAGGAAGGAAGTTGGCCTAGAGTTTCTGGGGAGCGTCTTGCTCTCTTCCAAAGGGAAAGCTGTGACGTATTCCTGCAGTAGTGCTGTTGATGTGGCACCACCAAGACCTTCTGCAGCCTCAGAAAGGAACTGACGTACAGAGGGCCACAGAGCGAGATGTCTGCAGGGAAAAGGAGCCACAGCCACCCACCAGTCATGACCGTTGCTGGGCTTCCTCTCCCCAGGTGCCTGAGATAGTTTTCTGAAATCCTCCTCATGGATGCAGAGTTCCAGGCATCCTTAACCCCTCTGAATTCCAGGGTCCTGAGTTGGTGAGCTGCCCACTTCTATGCCTGGGACACAGCTGATGTTACAGGTGGCCGGAGTGTCTGTGCCTGAATCAGTTCTCTAAAATTTAACTTCTGTATAGCTTCTTTTAAACATACTTATTTATTCAAAAGTCGGAACTACATTGAGAGAGGGAGAGACAGAGAGAGATCTTCCATCCACTGGTTCACTCCACACATGGCTGCAATGGCCAGGGTTGAGCCAGACCAAAGCCAGGAGCCAGGAGCTTCATCTGAGTCTCCCATGTGGGTACAGGGACTCAAGCAATTGGGCCATCTTTTATTGCTTTCCCAGGTGCATTAACAAGGAGCTGGATTGGAAATAGAGCAGCCAGAACTGGAACTGGTGCCTATATGGGATGTCAACACTACAGAATGCAGTTTAACCTCTTTGCCACAGTACCAGCCCCTCCATTTAGCTTTGAAATATTCATTAGTTGTGCAAAAGTATACACTACGAATACCCTGTTCATTGCAAAGGGCACAGGCAAGATGGGGGCACTGTTGCCAATGGCACTAGATCTCACTTGTGAAATAGCAGAGTCTGGCGAAACATCTGCTTGGTACTGTAGCTTGTGGCAGACATTTGAAGAAGTGCAGAGTCACAAAGCTATTTGCACCATTTATCCCAACTAGGATGGTGATGTGCTTGATCACATCCATAGAGATGGAGCCACTACAGAGAAGGAGAGTTGTCCAGTCACTGGTGCCTACCTGAGTCTGTAGTGCAATCAGCCATTCCAACTAGCTGGTTCCTGGGAGTGTTATTGGTTAGAACAGGTGGCCAAGGAATGAGGAGAGCTCTAAGACCTCAGCCAGCTGAGCCTGCCCGTGCTGCCTGGAGGTGTGGGTGGGGGTTGATCTCCATCAAGGTTATCTCCTGTTGCCCA